GATCTTTGCACATTTCATTATAATAATTGACTTTGTCCTCTTGAGTTGCCCTTTGAAATCTTCAGCTCTGTTATCTTGTCATTTCTTCCATTTGCTTTAGTTACTCTCCTTTCAAGAGTAAGTTTCAGAGTCTTTTCTGACATCCATTCTGTTTTTTTCTTCCTTTCCTGTCTTTTTAATGACCCTTTACTTTCTTCATCAAATTTGTTTTCTAGATGTTCTCTAAATTCAGGTGGGATACACTCAAAGCCATATTTTTGGCTCTCATGGACTTATTTTATTTTTATTCAGCTTTAGCTTACAGTTAAGGAGCTCTGGTGGTGTGGCGAGTAAGACATTGGGCTGCTAACCACAAGGTCAGCAGTTTAAATCCATCAGCTGCTCTGGGGGAGGAAGACAAGGTAATCTACTTCTGAAAAGATTTACAGCGTTGAAAACTCAGTGGGGGTTGTTATGAGTCGGAATGGACTCAATGGCAGTGGGGTTGGATTTTTTGGTTTTAACTTAAAAGTTCCAGGTGAGCAATTGATAGTCTGTTCCAGTTAGGCCCCTGGCCTTGTTCTGACTGATGATAGTGTGTTTTTCATTGTCTCTTTCCACAGATGTAGTTGATTTGTATTCCATCTGGCGAGGTCCATCTATAAGTTACTGCTTAGGTGTTCAATAAAGGGATTTGCAATGAATCAGTTGTTTGCCGTGCCATCCCCAGTGTCATGTCTATCGCCAAGGCCGTATTTCCCAACTACCAGGAACTGACTCCACCACAGGGGTTTGGTTCTGGCTTCCTTTCTTAGCGTCCCATCTGCAGAGTGACTTGTCGTGTCAACCGGGAGCTTTTGGATAGCAGCTGAGAGCTTTAAACACTGCACCACAGGTTTGTGTAGCAACTGAAATTATATCAAATGCCACCAGAGGGCACTAGACCACATCCCCTTCCTCAAACCCAGTCCAGCGTTAGGACCAATGTATAAAACCAAACTCACTGCCATGGAGTCGGATCTGACTCATAGAAACCCCTTCTTGGGCTTCCAAGGTGGAAGTAGATTGCCCAGTCTTCCTTCCGAGGAGTGGCTGGTGAGTTTGAACCACAAGCCTTCTGGTTAACAGTCAAATGCCTTAGGCCCTATGCCACCAGAGCTCCTACTGAGTTCCCAAGGCCATAAATTTTTACAGAAGCCAACTGTCTCATCTTTCTTCTGCAGAGTGGCTGGTGGGTTCAAACCACAGACCTTTTGGTTAGCCACCAAATGGCTTAACCACTACACTACCAGAGCTCCTTATCATGAAACCAATACTATGTCATTTACCATTATAACACATTCAACTCTTTGGAATGGGGGTTCTGGTAGGTGAGGTTGCCGGCACAGGGACAGCCAGTAAACAGCTGAGCTGGGATTCGAACTCCTAATCTTGGGCCTGACTGAGGTATCACAGCCACAGACATGCCCACCAAGTTCGACTATTGCTCCTGCCCATTCCAAGGCATGGTATTTCCAACCATCTCAAATGCATGTGAGAGCTGGATAATGAATACAGAAGACCAAAGAAGAGTTGATGCTTTTGAGTTGTGTTGGCAAAGAATGCTGAAAGTACCGTGGACTGCTAAAAGAACAAACACATCTGCCCTGGAAGAAGTGCAGCCTGAATGCTCCTCGGGAGCAAGAATGGCCAGACTTCATCTCACCTACTTTGGTCATGTTGTCAGACGGGACCTTTCCCTGGAGAAGGATGTCATGCTTGGTAAAGTGGAGTGTCAACTAAAAAGGCCCTCAACAAGATGGATTGACACAGTGGCTGCAATGATGGGTTCAGGTATAGCAATGATTGTGAGACTGGAATAGGACCGGGCAGTGTTTAGTTCCGTTGTACTTGTTGTTGTTGTTGTTGTTATGTGCCGTCGAGTCAAACCCGACTCATAGCGACCCCTCCTTGGGTTTCCGAGGCAGTATCACTACGGAAGTAGGATTGCCCAACCTTCCTTCCGAGGAGTGGCTGGTGGGTTTGAACCGCCAGCCGTCTGGTTAGCAGGCAAGTGTCTTAGCCACTATGCTACCAGAGCTCTGAGCCGATGGAAGGTACCTGACAACGACCCGCCCACTCCCACTCCCCAGTGATTGTGCATATTCACCTAGCCCAATTGCACATGGTTATGAAGTCTGCAGGAGCTCTGGTAGCATAGTGCTTAAAAGCACCTGATTGCTAACCAGAAGCCTGGCGGTTCAAACTCATCAGCCCCTCCTCGGAAGGAAGGTTGGGCAATCTATTTCCGTAGTGATACCGCCTCGGAAACCCAAGGAGGGGTCGCTATGAGTCGAGGGCACATAACAAGAAGAAGGCCACAGGGACTCCTCCGGCCGCCAGGGGGCAGGCGCTCCCCTCCTGCCTCTCTGGCCAGCTCCTCAGAAGGAGAGTAGATATCCCAGAGTTCAGTGCGGCGCTGCCCTTCCGCGGCAGAAGCCATTGCAGTTTAGCAGGTATGTGGGTTTCTCGCGGCCAGGATCCTTCGCCATCGGGGCCCTAGGAACCGCGGCACAGGTTGGGGTGCGGCAGGGTGCAGCTAACGCGCCCAAGGGATCGGGGGCCTGGGGTTCCGGGCGACGGAGACCGAGCCGGTACTCATCTCCACTTCCTCTCCCCATTCCTGTCCCAGCCATGGCTGTGCGCTACCCTATGGCCGTGGGCCTCAACAAGGGCCACAAAGTGACCAAGAACGTGAGCAAGCCGAGGCATAGTCGCCGCCGCGGGGTGAGTGTCGGGCCCAGGGTCAGTGGTGGGAGCAATGGAGGCCTCTGAGGGAAGAGGGGAGCCACGGCGGCGCTTGAGCAGGGGAAAGGAGATTGTCAAGATTTAAGCAGTGAGCGAAGATGCCCATTGCTTGCCCGCGTTCTGAGTACCCATCTGGACAACAAACTTCCGGCTTCCTGGCCCGCTTGAGCGAGGTTGTGACCGAGTAATTTTGGCAGCGAAGTGTGGGAATTGACGTATGAGTAGGAGATCGTTTAGTGGAGGGCGGCTAGGTAACAGACCTGGCCACGGCAAGTAGTATCGGTGGCAGGGAAGATGTTGGAATTTGGAGGGGCAAGATGAGACTGAGCGTCAGGTTGAGGAATTCGGTCTGTGGAGTTGCAGGCGCAAACTCAGGTAGGCGTGGCTGTGCGGGGCTGTGCCCAGTGGGAGGGGACTCCAGGCCCAGAGAACAGCCTGTGCAAAGGGCTGGGAGGGGTTCTGGCTGGATCTCTCTCAGCCTTGTCTCTGTGTGTTCTGGTTCCCTAGTGCCGCTCTGACAGCAATGTACCACAGATGGGATGGCTGGAACAAACAGGAGTTTATTCTCTTACAGTTCGGGAGGCTAGAAATCTGAGTTCACAGTGCCAGGCTCTAGGGGCTGAGTAAAAGCCCCTCAACCTTGGGCTTCAGCTCTGCCTTCTGTTACCAGTTCACTGAGGCTGTAGGCTGACAAATCCAAGGTCAACAAGTAAAAAGGCATAGTTCCAATGTTACCAAACAACCCAGCAGGCCATTGATTCAAGTCCATTGAAGTCCCAAGATCTCCAGAGCAGGCTCCTGAACACTGCTCAGCTCCATGCAGGTTTTAGCATGCCATTCCCAAAGCTGCTGCTTATATGGGGGACGCAGACCACATCCCTGAAGCAACTACTCAGCTGCTTGTGGTAGAGCCCACCCTGGAGTTGACTGCCAGTCTCCTCATGGGGAATAACTACCACCACACCACTTAGGAGCTCTGGTAGCAAAGTGCCTAAGGCACTTGACTGCTAACCAGGCCGGCGGTTCAAACCCACCAGCCACTCCTCTGAAGGAAGGTTGGGCAATCTACTTCTGTAGTGATGCTGCCTCAGGAAACCCAAGGAGGGGTCGCTGTAAGTCAGGTCCGACTCCATGGCACATACCACCACCACACCACTTAACTAGCACAGTCTACAAAATGGGTTGACAAGGCTGGGTGGGACTTGGGAGGACTCGTGGTGGGCATGGTCAAATGCTGTTGTTGAAGTCAAATTCTGACTCATGGCAACCTTATGTGACGGGAAGACTGCCCTGTAGGGTTTTCTTGGCTGCCATCTTCAGGGGAGCAGATGGCCAGAGCTTTCTTGCCGGGTGGGTTCAAACTGCCAACCTTCCAAAATCTCTACCCCAGTAAATTCCTTCAGTCCTCACATCCCGAGAGGACTGTCATGTTAGGGGAGACTGAGGCACACAGTAGGGGAGGGTCTAGGGTGCTTACCTTTACCCAAAGCCTGTCCTGACGGCCCCTCACCCCCCCCAGCGCCTCACCAAGCACACCAAGTTCGTGCGGGACATGATACGGGAGGTGTGCGGTTTTGCGCCTTATGAGCGGCGCGCCATGGAGCTGCTCAAGGTCTCCAAGGACAAGCGGGCCCTCAAGTTCATCAAGAAGCGGGTAGGTGGGCCCCTGGCAGAGGGAAGTGGTGTGGGGTGGGCCTGGGGCTGACCTGACTAGCCCTCCATGCCTGGCAGGTGGGGACACACATTCGTGCCAAGAGGAAACGAGAAGAACTGAGCAATGTCCTGGCCGCCATGAGGAAGGCTGCTGCCAAGAAGGACTGAGCCAGCCCTGCCCCTTTGTGTCCGCTACAGCCCATCCCACATAATAAAGCCTTTCCAGAAACAAGCGTGTATTGCCCAATGGCTTATGGTGGCCTTGGGGAGGTGTGTTTCCCTTCCCTTGAGATGCACCCCCTGGTGGCCCACAGTTCTAGCTTGTCCTGTGCCTCCCTGGGCCTTCACGGTAGTGGTGGCAGTGGACAAAGGCAGGCAGCAGCCACCCAGTACTGCAAATGGGTTTTAATCATAATTCAATAGCTCTGGTGTGCTCGTCTCCATGATTAGTCAGTCATAGCTGAGTTCTGGGCCCAGGCCACTGAGTTTTGTCTCTAGGTCTTGGTTGGCCGGCCTGGGCCCTCTGACGTGGTGCAGTCACTCTGCGCCCAGGCCCGTCTGTTGCAGAGGTGCTGCTGCCATCACCGCTCCACAGCCAGGGCCTGTGCCTCATCCTCAGGGAAGGCGATGGGGAAGATCTCGCGGTAGTGTGCCACAAAGTGAACCTCTAGGCCCTCAGTGATGAACGCGGCCAGGTCATAGAAGTCCTTCTTGTTTTCAGCTGGCAGCACCACGCATGTCACGCCAGCACGCTTAGCCTGGGAAGGGGGGACCGTGCAGCTGGAGGTCAAGGCCAGGGGCAGCAGGGGGATCCCCTTGGTACAGGAGCACTGTGCTCTGGGAGGGAAGAGGCTGGGCACGGCCCTTGGAAGCCTGCCCTGTGCCACCTTCACTGGAAACATGCGCCAGTGCCCCATCTCACAGATGGGGAAACCTGGGACACATCACACTCTCTGCCTGGACTGCTTGTCTCACAGAGCCCACCACCCAGGGGGTCTCATACCCCTGCCCCTTCCCCTCCCAGGGCATCCCACTGTCTGCAGAGACACCCGTGTCCTGTGGGATCAAACGTGGGAGCTGTTGCTAGACACTAAAATCCTGCATCTTACGTGTCTGGAGAACCTAGGAAAACTGTGTCAAATTTTCCAGGCCTATGGGTCACAGCCCCCCAGAGCTCCCAAGTCCTTGGCACAGTCCACAGGCCCTGTTCTGTCGCCTCCCTGCAAATGCCTCGTCCCTCAGGCTGCAGCTCTTGTAGGGGAGGGCAGTTTGTCACCACACCGGCCTTGGGAAACTGCTTGTGTCCTCTCACAGCACCCTCTCACTGGCCCTGCGAGACAAAAGCACTGGCCCTGCCCTTTCACAAGTGAGGAGGGAGATGCAGAGAGAGCAGGAACTTCGCCACCCGGTGGCTCCTCAGCCTGCGTGTTCCTTGTGCTGGGTCACCCAACACTTCCCGCTATGGGTCCCCTGATCAGTTAAGCTCCTGGTGGGGGAAAGACTGGAGAGCAGAGGACTGGGAAAGCAAGTGGGAGGGGGGCTGCGGTCCAAAGGATGGAGCGGTGTGCAGGGCGTGCAGAATCAGGCCATCGTGGGGACCGTGAGGGGGGGGAGGGGGAGGGGGAAGTCCAGGTAGCAGCCCTCATCCTGCTGGGCATTTGCCAGTCACACCCAAGCCTTGTCCTCCTCGCCACCCTTGCTCCCTGTTCCCCATCTGCAGTCTTGCTGGGGAACAGAGATCCCACCTTGCCTTCAAGAAGCTCAGAGTTCATGGGTGGGCAGAGCCGGGACCCCTAGGAAAAAGCACTAGAACATTCTCCAGAGTCCTGAAAAGGCTAAGAACCCCTATGGAGGGGCAGCCAAGAGAGTGGGTTCAGAGCATGGGCCCTGAGTCCTCATCCAGTCCCTCTGCCACCTGGCCCTGGACAAAGCCCACCCACCACGGATGTCCCTTTACTGAACTGTGAAATGGGTTCACCACTTCATTTCTGTGAGGCCCAGATATGATGTGAGTGACAGCTGTGGCCTGCCACATGCTGGTGCGGCTTAGCTGGGCTCTTGGTCCAGATCCACTCAAGGGCAAGGACCCTGACTGGGTCTGTGGGTAGCCCAGGACTCTGGAGGGTGAATGCTGGTGGGTGGCCACCGGGAGCAGGGTCCTGGTACTCACCGCAATGGTCTTCTCCTTGATGCCCCCAACAGGCAGGATCTTCCCTGTGAGGGACACCTCGCCCGTCATGGCCAGGTTCTGTCTCACTGGCCGGTCCATGGCCAGGGAGAGCAGAGCTGTCACGATCGTGCAGCCGGCGCTCGGGCCGTCCTTGGGGGTGGCGCCCTAGGGGGAGAACTGCGTAGGTGGGCAGCCATCCGGGCAGGAGGGTGCAGGTGGTGGGCGAGTGGGGCAGGCGCTCACCTCGGGCACGTGCAGGTGGACGTGTGAGGTCACCAGGTAGTCGTTGCTGGGGTCCTGCTGCATCAGGAAGGCCCTGGCGAAGGTGTAGGCAATGCGAGCGCTCTCCTTCATCACCTCCCCCAGCTGTCCTGTCACCTCCAGGCTCCCGACCTTGTCCCCCTTGCCGTCCTTGTCCGGTGGCCGCATCGGGGAAGTCTCAACAAACAGTGTGGAGCCTCCTGGGAGAGGAGGTGGAGTCGGTGAGCGCACGCACGCCCTGCCTGGCCCCCATCACCATCCCCTCTGCCTGCCGTCACCACCACCTCCTCAGGCCCCAGGACTCTGACTCAGCACACAGATGCAGGGAGAAGTTTGCTCTCGCACAAGCTGGAGTGCCCCAAGTCCCTGCATGACAGAGAAGCAGTGGTGGAGGCCACTCACCCATGGCGGTCCAAGCCAGTCCCATGACCACGCCAGGGGGTGTCACGTCGTACATGCGCTCCACGGTGAAGATTGGCTTCCCCACGAAGTCCTGCAGGTTCTCAGGTGTCACCTGCACAGACTCGGCCTCGCCGCTGACGATTTTATAGGCGGACTTCCGCAACACCTGGGGCAGGACAGGGAGGTAGGCAAAGCAGCGGCAGACTGGGTGGATGGGTGGGTGGGGCCGCCGGCTGCCTGCTCACCTTCTCCACTTGTTTCTGCAGGTTGCGGACGCCACTCTCCCGGCAGTATTGTTTGATGAGCAGGGTCAGCACGTCCGACGACAGCTTGGCTTTGCTCTCATCCAGGCCACAGAGGGCACGGGCCTGGGGCACCAGGTAGCGCTGTGGGGAGAGAACCGCATCAGGGCGGGCCCTCTAAGGAGACCCCATCAACCACAGGCCCCCGTGGGGTAGGTTAGAGCAGGGCAAGAGTCTGTAACCTGATGGTAGGGCGGGGGGTTTGCATTATAGGGGTAGGAGGAGGGTAGCGGGCTGTTAGTCAGACAGTGGAGCCTGCAGCCTGCCCAGTTACCCACATCCACATTCGGGGGTCTCCTGTCTGGGCATTCACTCAGCCGCTCCTCCTGCCCACCACCCCCAAGACTGACCTCCAGTCACCCTCCAGATGGCAGCCTACATGCTGCTCCCTCCAAGGAGGCTACCCTGGTTCCCTGGGCTGGTACACGCTGTCGTGCCCCATGCAGACCAGCATCCCCTGTGATGAGCAACTCATCATCTGGCTGCAGCCCGTGGCTGAAGGGAGGGGGACTAGGCCTGAGGCACCATAGGTGGTCACCCAGGCCTAGCACAGTCCCAGCCACAAAGCAGCTACTCGACACTCAGTCATGAGTACCGGTTATGGGACTGAGGATGTTGGAGGCATGGGTGCCAACACCAATTGGACAGGACCCTGCCCTGGTTGGGCCTCCCAGGCCAGGACACAACCCTGCACTGGGCTTTGCCTGGCCCCAGGAACCCCGAGTCTGCCCTTCGTCAGCCAAGTCACATCACCCTCAGTGAACAGATGACCAATGGCCATGGACTCTGTCCATACTGACTCTTCGTTTTCTGGCCTGTCCTCGGTCATACCAGCTGCCAGCTCTGAAGGACAGGGACCTGAGGGCTGCTGCTGTCCCCACCCACACGGTCCCTGGCACAGGGTGGACACTATAGCACCCCAAGCCTGCCCTGAGACCGCCCCCCCCCCCAGATGGGGACAGCTGGGCAGGGCCTCACCTCGGCGATGGCCAGCTTCTCCTGGGCCACGTAGCCAGACACGTTGATCATCTCCATGCGGTCCCTCAGCGGCTCTGGGATGGTCTCGGTGACATTAGCTGTGCAGATGAACAGTACCTGCAGGAAGCACGGGGTGCTGAGAACTGCCCATCCCGAGGCCCCCACACCAACTCCCTACCCCCCACACACCTTGGACAAGTCCACAGGCACATCCAGGTAGTGGTCCAGGAAGTTGGCATTCTGCTCTGGGTCCAGTAGCTCCAGCAGTGCCGAAGAGGGGTCACCCTGGTAACCCCGGCCGATCTTGTCCACCTGGAGCAGCGGTGGGAGACAGGGCATTGGCACGTGGCAGGAGGTTTGGCAAGATGAGACTCAGTGGGCTGTGGAACTGGGACACCTTGAGGAAGTACGGAGCCCCATCGTCAGGGCGCTGCAGGCCATGAGACCGTGCAAGCAAAGGGGGGACCTGGCAAGTGTGGCTGTGGGCAGTGATGGGGTCCTCGAGGGGCAGGAGGGGCCCCTCCCCTTGTCGTAAGAGCAACAGTCACTGAGATGGCACAGCGCCATAGTGGCTTGGGAACCGTGACCGCGAGCATGGACCCTGCCTGGGGACACTGTCTGGCATCAGGGCGAGTCCCCCGCACCTCGTCGATGAGAATCAGGGGGTTCTCCGTCTTGGTCTTCTTTAGGCACTGGATGATCTTTCCTGGCATGGCCCCCACATAGGTGCGCCTGCAGGAGAGGGCATGGCGGGGTTGGCACCTCAGCACTCGGGGGCTCCAGAGCCTGTCCAGACTCTCTGGCGCCATGGGACGTCAGCAATGGCCACCTGCAGAGGGTCACCCCAACTCGTGGATGCTGGCAGACACCAACACTCACCCCCAGGCTCATAGGTGGAACAGAGCTGTGGCACTGGGACTCAGCCCCCCACCTGGTAATAGGGCTGGCACAGCCAGACACTGGGGACAGAGTGGCCCCCACGACAGGCAGGGTCCTGAGCTCAGCATTCAGGGCCCCCCCAGTCCTGGCTGTACCCTTCCTTGCAGATACCTCTCAGGCCCAGCACTGCCCTGGGGGTTGTGGGTACCCACAGTGGAGGCACCGGGTCCAGGCCCTGCCCACAGCCTGCCTGTTCTGAACCCTCCTCACCGTGCTCAGATCAGACCCCAGTCCTGGCTCATGGGGACCCACGGGGCAGACAATGAGCAGAACAGTTGTTGGGTACGGTCAATTCCCACTCCCAGCGACCCTACAGGACAGAGTGGGAACCACAGGGCTTCCAAAGCTGTCATCTGCATGGAAGCAGATCACCAGGACACTCCTGCAGATGCTGGTGGGTTTGAACTGGCAACCTGTTAGTGGCCGGGTGCTTAACCAAGCACCACCAGGGCTCCTTGAGCAAAACAGAGGGGAATTTTGTGCATGGAACAGTTTCCCTGCTCTGAGAGGTAGTGAGGGCTGGGGTGGGACTGTCATTAGGTGGAGGAGCACCTGTGAGGGGCCCCCGAGCAGCGTGAGGAACCCGGGGGTTGTCTGACTGCTCCAGCCAGAGGGAACGTCCGTGCACTATTCCCCACAGCAGGAAGAGACTGGCCGGAGCAGTGAGAAGGCTGCCTGGCACAGAGCGGGAGCGGGAGGAGGGGTGCGCCTTGTGGGCTTCCAGTAAGCTGGGCGCCCTGTGAACAGAAGGGGGTTCGGAGGTGTGGTGCTTATGTTTGTGTATCAACTTGGCTGGGCCTGGTTCAGTGGCTGGGCAGCTGGTGGTAGTTACTCCCCATGATGAAACTGGCAATCAGCCCATGATGGGATTTACCACAAGCAGCTGAGTGAGGCTTTAAGGATGTGGGCTGCTTCCCGTATATAAGCAACAGCTTTGGGAATGGTTTCCAGCTTATGGCATGCTTAGACCCTGCATGTAGCTGTGATATTGTTCAGCAGCCTGCCGTGCTCTGCTGACCTTGGAATTTTCAATGGACTTGAATTAATGGCCTGCTGTATGGTTTGGTAACATCGGGACTGTGCTTTTTTTACTTGTCAGCCTTGGGCTTGGCAGCCTCAGCAGCCAGCAGCTGTCTGAGTGAAGAAAAGCCTCCAGCTCCAATAGGCCAGGAGGCGGCGGCAGTGCTGGACTCCAAGGTTGAGGGTCGTTTTTCACCCAGCCCCCAGAGCATGGCACTTTGAACTTGAACTTAAAGCCTCCAAACTGTGAGAGAATAAACTCCTGCTTGTTAAGGCCGTCCATCTGTGGTATATTCCTGTCAGAGGGGTGCTAGGGAACCAGAACAGGAGCCACGAGGCTGCAGCAGCTGTTACCAACAGGATCCCTTTCATCACGGTGGTCACCTCCCTGTCCTTGTTGGGAGCCTAGACGGATGTCAGCTGAGTGCCTGTGGACCCAGCTCTCCTGGCACCCCTTCAACCCGCCCTGCAAAGGAGGCAGAGGCTGTGCCCATCAGGGCTTGCAGTGGTCCACACGGCATCCCCCTGACCAGCTCCTGTATGCCCTAGAGAACTAGAATTGATGACTTTTTTTATGAAGAAGCCAGGTAGCCCCTAGTTTTTAAACTGACTCATGACACCTTTCAACTCCATACAGGATGATCCCAGCAGGTGCGAACAGCACACCTCTCACCCATCTCACAGGAGGCCAAGCTTTTCAAAGAAGTGCCTTCCACAGACCAGTGTAGCTAGAAAGCCCACGAGAATGAGTCCTCCAGCCTGGTGGTCCCATGGGCCAGGCCAGCACAAAGGCCCGCCTATGTGGGGAGGCTTGGCCCTGCTCTGGGCTCCCCCAGCTCTAAGCTATAGGCTACCAGGAGGCTGACCATGCTCTGGATGCCGAGGTGAAGGACGCTCTTCCTGATCAGGGTTGCTGAACCGGTGGGACAGGAGCTGGAACTAGCAGGGGCAGTTTGCAGAGAGCCTGCCCAGGAGGTGCAGATCCCTGCCAATGTTTGAGCACCTGGACGCAGCCAGGCCTGAAGTTGGCACTCTGCCTAGGTTTCTCTGTTACTGAACTCAGTCTGTTGCTAGCAACCCCAGTCACTTGAGGCAATGTGAGTGAAGACAAGGAAAACTAACCAGGCAGGAGGCTGAGGGAGCTTCAAGGATGTGTGCCACTGCGGTGGCCGGGCCTACCTGTGCCCCTTGATCTCGGCCACATCCGTCATGCCCCCGACGCTGAAGCGGAAGTACTCGCGGTTCAGGGCACGGGCGATGGAGCGGGCGATGCTGGTCTTGCCCACGCCGGGAGGGCCGTAGAAGCAGAGGATCTTGCCTTGAGTGGAGCCGCGGAGCTGGCTGACGGCAATAAACTCCTGTAGGCAAAAGCCAGGCTCGGGTGGGCTGGGGGGCTCGCAAGAGACACGCATGCATGCTCCAGGTGGGGGGCCCTCCTGGGATACACATGTCCCAGGAGGCCTAGATGGTGGGGGCTCTTCCCAGGCCCCCGAGCCCCACACCTCTCCGCTTCCACACAGCCTTTTGAAGGGAATGAGCTCCCGTAGAGGAGCTGGGCACTGGGCATTGTCATCATTTTCCACGAGACTATCCTGAGGGCCCCACCCTAGACAAAAAGGCGGCTCTCTTGGGGCTCCCCCAGACCCACCCTCAGGCAGGTGCCTCTGGCCCTTGGGCTCCCACCCTGCTGGTTTCTACCAACACAGTGTGGTTCATGTCTGCCTCACACATCCACAAGCTCCTATGAGCTCCCGCAGGCAGGCTGGCCCAGGTTCATGTGGTGCCTCTGTGTCACAGTGCTCCCCCAATGCCAATCTCTCCACTTGGGTCCTTGCACCCCATTAGCCTTCTGTAGTCTCTGTGGGCATTGGGGCCCCGTGAGCCTAGCCCCTATAAAACCCCTTTGCACCCCTGCTGGCTGATGGCTCCAATACAGCACAAAGGAAATGCTTGGCTCTAAGTGCCAGGGTTGGCGCTGATGCACCCCACCTGGAACTAGGACCACAAGACAGACGACTATCCCTGGGTCCTCTGACCAAGCACACTCAGGATGTGACCTGTGGCATCCAGCAGAGGGTGGTACATGCCAAAGGACCCCAGGCCCATGGGGTGGGGGAGGGAGTGGTGTGTGCCCCAGGCCCACAGCAGTGCACACGTATGCATCGTGTGTGTGTGTGTGTGTGAGGGGGCAGTACATGCTCAGGCCCGTGGGGGGTGTTTGTGTATGGGCGGGGCTCACCAGGATACGCTTCTTGACGTCCTCCATGCCATAGTGGTCCTCCTCCAGCACGGCCTGGGCCCGCACCAGGTCCAGGTTCTCATTGCTGTACTTGCCCCACGGGATGGAGGTCAGCCAGTCCAGGTAGTTGCGGGTGACACTGCCACAGAACAACAGGAGCCAATGAGCAGACCTACGCAGACCCTCCCCGCCCACCGCAGCCATGGGACAACTGACCACCAGCAGAGGGAGCATGGGCAAGAGAAGGGGAGAAACCCGGGCCCACAGCCAGTGTCTGCAGTTAAAGTGAGGGTGCTGATTGGGAAGAAATGGGATCCAGGGCCGAGGATGGCGACACTGGGCTCTTAAATTCCACTGAGTAACTCCTGCCAACCGCACCACCCCTCCCATCCAAAAAGACCACTTCACCTTTGTAGCTAACTCTCCTCCCCAGGAAACCATTATCCCTTCCACTCCCATCTGATCAGACTCGCCCAGCTGCCTGGCATGGCGCTTGGCACATGAGGTATGTCGCCTGGGATATGGCCTGAGGCACATGCTGTACAAAACATGGGTAAAGTTCCGAGGACCCGCTCCCACCACCCATTTTTGCTCCTAGACCTACTGTTGTTGTTGTTAGGTGCCTTCAAATTGGCTCTGACTCATAGTGACCCTGCGTACAACAGAAACTCTAGACCTGTAACTAGACTTAAATCCCACAGAGCCCTGGAGGGAAGTATGAAGTGTTGTCCAGGAGGAGGTCCACTACGCTCCAGAAGAACCGCCTGCCCGACTGTGCTAACAGAGTCCTGGGGAACGTGCGTGACATGGCTATTGAGGGTGTGGAATAATGGGGCAAAGAACATGAAGCTGAGTTTATTAATATGGGCCCACTAAGCAGAGATTCTTCATTCAGTGTTTCAACACAAGAGGTTAGAAAGGATCTAATAGTTGATTTGGGTGGTTCACTGTAGCATGGATTAAGTGGTGAGCTATGCTTAAAACAAACAAACAAAAACACCCCCACTACCATTGAGTCAATTCCAAGTCACAGCAACCGCCACTAGGTTCCCGAGGTGGTAAATCTGTACGGAAGTAGACGGCCCCATCGTCCTTCTGTGGAGAGGCTGGTGGGTTCGAACTGCTGACTTTCTGCTTAGCAGTCAAATGCCTTAGGCACTGTGCCACCAGAGCTCCTTGGGCTACACTAAAGCAAGCTGAAATGCCAGAGCTGCCTCGGAGGACTGCACAGGGGGTATTCAAAGGCTCAGGGAAAATGGCACAGTACAGTGGATTAGACCCCTATACCACCAACCCAGCGTGGGGGCGGGGCAGAGGACACACCTTTTACCACAACCTTGAGAGACAATTAGTGAAAGAAGCCCCAGCACCTTGGAAGACTGCTGTGAGGGCTATGTTACCTAAGTTAGATTTGACCATGGAAACCAAAACAAACTAATACAAAGGAGCTCTGGTGGTGCAGCGCCTAAGGCATTTGACTGCTAACGGAAGGTTTGCAGTTCAAACCCACCAGCCGCTCCTCGGAAGGAAGACTGGGCTATCTACTAATGTAAAGATTTACTGCCTTGGAAATCCAATGGGGGTCACTATGAGTCAGAATCAACTCACTGGCAGTGAGTTGGTTGGTTGGTTGGTTTTTTAACTATAATGGAAGGAACTCTGGTGGTATAGTGGCTAAAGCACTCAGCTGCAAGCAAATGGTCAATAGTTCGAACGACCAGCCATTCCATGGGAGAAATATGTGGCAATCTGCTTCTACAAAGACTGACAGCCTTGGAAACCCTATGGGCAGTTCCACGCTGTCCTATAAGGTCACTCAGTTAGAATCAACTTGATGACATGAAGAAATCTCCTTTGAGGCTAAGGTTTCCTTTGTTGTGTTAATGAGGCCTTATCAGCATAAGATCTGTTTCCTTTTAAGCCAATCACTTCTGAGATAGAGAAGGGCAAACCAGGCATGCAGAGCAAGCGGGGTGTGTGGGGGGATACAGGGGAGGGGCAGCAAGGAGGGGGAGATGGAGGCTGCGCAGCAATGACCCAGGCGCCCCAACATCACAGCGGCCAGAGAGGCCTCTCCAGCACTGGCAAGGGGCAAGTGAGAGCAGCCCCCCGAACTGGGGCTCTGCATTCAGATTTCCAGCCTCCCAAATGGTGAGAAAGTTCTGTTCATGGAAGCCACCCCCTTGTGGTGTTCCTGTACCAGGACATCAAGACACAGGTCAAGGGCGTCTTAACACACCAGCACACCAGACACATGCCACAGGCCACAGGGGCCCTGCAGTGTAGTAAATTACTTAGTGTGGCTTTTCTACCCATAAGTCTTTGTAAACTCCAAGGTGGGAATTGCTATTAGCAACTAGGAGATCCTGATTTTAAAGTCGCCCACCTGGGTTATTTCTGTTGGGGTGGCACAATACAACATTCTGGGAAGTTCCCAATCTCTCTCACGTGCTTAGAGTTCTGATGCTGTGATTGGCTAGTTTGACCACCCTTCCGGGCTCAAAAGGAGGCCTCCTGGAGGCAGAACTCTCTCTGATGGCTGGTGATGGAAGACGTGCTGCCGAAAGAGACACGTGCTCCTGAACGAGACACGTGCTGCTGGGAAAGAGACGCAAGAGACACGCATTGCTGAGTGAGACACCGAGGGACCGGCACTGCTGGGAAAGAGACTGTGAGAGACTTGGCTGAGAGACGGTGGGCTGGGAGAGAGACTGAGCATTTTTCCTGAACTCGAATTGTAGCCTGGTGCTTCCCTAATAAACCCCGTAATCTGTGAGTTCTGTGTGGCCACTGCAGCGAATTATGAGCCCAGGAGAGAGGTGGTGGGTGCTCTGGGAGGAACGGCTGGTGAAAGGGCTGGAGGGAGACAGCATGTTTGGCCTTGCAGTAATAGGCCTTGCGCTATTGATGGTGCTTCTGCCTTCCTCTTGTGGGATTAGAGGAGGTCAGAACATGTGGCCTCCTTGCCGTTTTTGTAGGCCCTCACCCTCCAGGCCCTACGCCTGGTCACCTGCCTTCTCAAGGCTGGGAAATGAGCAGGCAGTCACTGACTGTGAGGCCTGGAGCCTGCCCTGCAGAGCACATGCACGTGGACTCACTTGAACTCGGAGGAGTGGTTGTCCAGCAGGCCCAGCTTGCTGAGCTCCTCGTCCACCACATCCATGACATGCCTGGGGACCACCAGCTCCTTCAGGCGCTCGCGGAACTTCTCCTCGATGGCGTCCTTGTCCTCCTTCTCCAGGCCCAGCTCCTTCTTGATGATCTTCAGCTGTTCTTGCAGGAGGTACTTGCGGTGCGTCTGCTTGATCTTCTCCTCCACCTGCAAGGCCGAGGTGGCTGCTGAGACCAGGGTGCACGGGAGAGGGTGCTTCACGGGGCCCAGGGGGCGGCTCCACCGGGCTGGGAGGGTCCGGCTGCAGACAGGGTGCTCACTGGCTCCGAGAGTATGGAGAGAGAAAGCCTTGCACACAACTCCAACTCCTTCCTTCCACTTGAACCCAGTCTCTCAACGAGGGGGACTCGCACCACTAGTGACACACTCATCAATTCTACTCCCAGTTGCTGAGTTGGTGGTGACCACACACACCATAGAACAAAACCCTGCCCAGTCTGTGCCATCCCCACGCACCATGGACCAAAACCCCACCCAGTCAAGGGCCACCCCCATGGTTGGTGGCGGACTGGACCACTGTGATCCACAGGGTTTTCACTGGCTTATTTTTGGGAAGGTCGCCAGGCCTTTCCTTCTAGCCTGTCTCAGTCTGGAAGCTCCGCTGAACCCTATTCAACATCCCAGCACCATGCAAGTCTCCAGGGACAGAGGAGTGGTGGCTGAGCAAGAGGTGTGCTGGCTGGAACAGAACCTGGGTCTCCTTCCCCTGCAACCCTCCATAGCCCCGCCACAAACCAGTGTTGGGCAGTATAGTAAATAACAACGAATCCCACAGTGAGGGGTTCATGGCCCTTCCAAGGCTATAACGTTAACCACCTGCTGGTGCAGGCAGCCCACAGCTTTGCCTGGAATCCAAACAGCGGACCCCAGACAGCCGAGTCTTGGGATTTCAACTCTGCCCAGGTTGGTTCCTATTTCTAGTACCGCTCCTAGGACTAGGAAGGCACAGAAATGCTCTGAGGTGGGACAGTCCTGGGACCTCGCCACTCTGGACTCATACCCTGGGACCAGTTTGCAGTTTCCCGATTAATGCAAGGAGTCCCATAGCCTGTAACTACAGAGTGACGGCTCCACAAGCCCTCAAATCAGGAAGGACTCTGGGGCCTGCTGCGACAGCCTCCCAGTCACTCTGGCAGTGGTGGCCTGTCTCGCCCCTGCTTACCTCTCGGCCCAGGCGCTGCTGCAGCTTGCTCAGCTCAAACTCCTTCTTGAGGAGGGACAGGGCCTTGTACAGTCGCTTGGGTATCTGCCAAGAAAGGGGACATACAAGAGGCTAGTCACAGACTGGTATCCGCCTGTGCTGGGCCAAGAGTGGAACGAGGGCCTTTGGGAGTGCACGTCAATGGCCGGGGTCTCAGTAGAGCCACTAAGCCACACCCCACAGAAGTAAAATGACCCACATTCTCAGACCCACTGATTCCAGTTCAAGAAGTCCACTCACTATGGAAAGATGCCCCCAGGCTATTAGCAGCGTGGACAACCGAGAAATTGCAAAAAGCGGGAGACCCAACCTCAATACCCAACCCCAAGGACCCCCATAGGGAAGATGATGCAACACCTGAAGAGACCAAAGTGGGTGACATGGACGGACAGCCGCCTGCCAACATGACTCCTCAGAATAGATGTGGGCTGCCTGCCCAGCATGCACAGTGGGGCCAGCAGGTGGCAGGCACAGGCATGTGCAGAGAGTGGGTGCAGGGGGAGCTCCCGCCCCCCCCCCCCCCCCATCTGCCACACTCACGTTGATCTCCTCCAGGACGTCCTGCAGCTCGTGGGACTCGGCCCCAGTCAGCGCAGCGCCCATGTCACTCAGGTAGATCGGGTTGTCCACCACACGCTGGCCTGCCTGCATCATCTGGAGCACCGACTCTCTGGGAGGGACCCAGTGGGCGGCACTCAGGCCTCCACACGCTGTGCCCCAACTCCAAGCAATGCTGGCGCCTCCTGCCCCACCTCGCACAGCTCAGAGCAAGGCCTCGGGGGACACCCCGGGAGCCAGCTCTTCTGCCCAAGCCACCCCAAGTTCAGGCCCATCTCACATGCTAGAGTGGGGCTGACACCCAGCGCCCAAAGAAAGGTCTCTGACAGCATGTTATGACCTCAAAGACCCCTCCCCACCCCATGAGCAGATGACAACCAAAGCTTCCAGCTGAATCCAGGCCCTTGTTAGCAAGAAGGCGAGTCAGGCTCTGGGGGATAGGCCCTACGTGGTAGGTGACCTCCTCACAACCCCACCCCGTCATCCTCCTGCCCAGATGACACCCTGGTGCCAACCCCACTGTGCACAGGGCCTGACCTGTACAGTGGGTTCAAGGCGATGATGTCGCGGATGGTCTTCACGATCTCGGCAGTCAGGGCCTGTGGACAAGGAGCAGAGGGGCCGCCAGGGCCTGGTTAGCACCCAGCAGCCTCCCACCTGCCACATTGCAACATCCCCAACATTCCAGCCACCTGGCCTGGCCAAGGAGGGCCTCACAGGCAAGGCGTGGGGCCAAATTCACCAGCCCCAGGACACAGGGTCAGGAAAGTACAAACTAAAACCATAGTCCTGTCTCCTCATACCAGCCTGCATCTTAACCTTAGAACAAGCTGCCTTGCAAAGCAGGGCTCTGGGTTCCTTGAGCGCTATCCTCACAACTGCCACACCTTCTCCCTCTCAGACTCCGTGACATCCAGGCTGTGACACGACCCTGGCCCATGCATGGTGTGCCTGTGTGTTGCCAACCGGCCTCTCAGCACCTCTGCCATGGATGTAGCTGAGACGGCAGGTAAGGCTGAGAAGAGTTTTCCTTCCTGCTTCTCTCTCAGCCATTACAGTGACCCTGGTAATGCCCTGGGCAGGGTCACCAGACTGAGCTAATGGCCTAAAAACTCACCCCACTTTTGTTTCCAGAAGGCCCCGGGCTCTAAGTATGCTGCACGCCAATGAGCACAGTGGTGGCACGGAGCAGCTGGCCACCACAGTGACCTTGCAAACGTAAACTGCCCGATGTCCAGTTATTTAGCTTGACCTGACCTTTCCTGAGACAAACTGTGTAGAAGGAACCAGAAGCAGATAGCAGGTGGTCCAAGGGACCTCTGGGTCGTCTGTGCAGCACAAAAGCCACAGCTGCATGTAGCTATTTCAAATTAAACTGCTGTTGCTGGGTGCCATCAAGTCGATTCGGACTCACAGTGTGCCCACACAATAGAGCAGAGCTGCCCCCGAGGGTTTCCCAGGCTGTCATCTTTACAGAAACATCACCAGGTCTTTCTCCCTAGGAGCCACCAGGTAGGACTTGTACTGCCGATTTTCAGTTAGCAGCCTAGGCTTACCTGTTGCACTCCCAGGACTCCTTAAATAAAGCAAAAACCAAACTCACTGCCACTGAGTCAATTTTGACTTGTCACGACCCTCTAGGACAGAGCAGAACTACCCCATAGAGTTTCTAAGGCTACAAATCTTTAGGAAAGCAGACTGTCTCACCTTTCTCCCACCAAGCAGCGAGTGGATTAGAATTGCCCACCTTTTGGTTAGCAGCTGAATGCTTTAACCACTATGCCTCCAGAAGTCCTCCCTTAAATAAAATCAGGCATTCTGTTCCTCTGCCACATAGCACAGGATTAAGAACATTTCCACCACAGTAGAAAGTTGACCTACATGGCCATCCTCAAGCACTCCAAGGGGCCCTGTGGTAACAACTGTTCACCCATGCTAGTGGGAAATGCAGGAGCCCTGGGGAAAACCCTATGGGGAAGTTCTACTCTGTCCTACAGAGCAACTTGATGGCAGTAGGTTTAGGTCTTTAATGGCAAATGCAGCCACCTTTCAGTGCCATGGCAGACATCACCAATCAATCCCGGCACTCTTTCCCACTGAGCTCAGAGGCAACCTCAGAATCTTTCTCAACACAGTGCCATAGCCCACCAACTTTGCTGGCTAACGGTGACAAGGGACCACTCTTTGCAAGGTCACTGTGGCACTGTGTGGACAAAGACTCTGAGCCTGGTGGAAAAGAGAGCTGTGATCAATTGGTAAGGTCTGCCGCGGGTGCCCCTTTGGAATGCAGACTTGGATACCAACTCACTTTCACTTCCTCTGTGACCTGGAAGTCCTCGTGGGCAACGTTCTCAACCTCGACCATGAGCACCTCCTGGGGGGCGCCTAGGCCAGGTTCCATCGCCAGCTCCACCTGGCTCTTGGCGCTCAGGTCATCCTCCACCTCCTTCTTGCCCCGCTTCAGCTTTCTCCGGGGCTTCTGCTTGTTCTCACCTTCTGGCTCCTCAGGCTCCACCTCCAGTTGTCGGCTTATGTGGATCCTGAAGGCAGAAGCAAAGTAGAGGAGCTGTGGTATGCCAGGCCCTAGTGCCGGGGTCCCCGCTGACAACGAAGCGAGGCTGGAAGAATCGGGTCCTGGCCAAGCCCAGGCTCCTGTAGCCACTAGGGAGGGCAACCTCAGGGCCTCAAGGTGGAGACCGAGCAGCTCACAGCCCTAAGGCCAGCATCCCCTCCTCCCTCTGTCCCTGTACTCATCCACAGCCTGTTTCCCACACACGTGCCAACCATAATGACAGAAGGGGAAGTTGAAAAGAGGAGGCTGAGGGCCTCCTATGACCACCACGTCACTGAGGCTGAGCGCCAGCCATGGAACTCTGCTCCCACTGTGGCTGAGTGCCAGCCCGTCCCAGCCTGAGCTCATCACACGGTGGAGAGCTGGACGGCACCTCCTCCCAGAGGCCCTTCCTGACCACTTTATGTAAAGGAGGTATTATGAACTGTGTCCTCCAAAAACATGTGCTGGAGCCCCACCTCCTACACCTGTGGGTGGAGTCCTGATTGGAAACAGGACTTGCTCTGTTCTGCTGTGTGGAATCAAATCACATCTAAGTAGGCTGGGTCCTAAATCAAATCACTTCTGAGTTACAACAGCAGCACAACAACCCCTCGAAACAGTTCCCAAGGAGATCTTTAAACCTTGAACTGAAACTACCCTGAGGTTACCTTTGGACTGAATAATAATCTAACCAAACAAGACAAGAATGTCTGCAGGAAGCATTAAACTCTTTAAAGAATTACCTAGCTGGGAGCAAACGGACAACATCAATGCAAGAGGGCAGAGGAGGAGCTTAGGGGCAGTCAGTCTACGTTAATGATGAGGAAACAGCAGCTTGGAAAAGACTGCTGAGAAAGGGGGCACAACCCAAAAAAACGTAAGCAAGGTCACTACAATAATACGTAGAACCTGTTGAAGTGGCATGTGTTTCGTTGGCTCTATCTCCACCAAACTAAATAAGTAAGAGCTGAGTAGAAACCGAGACACATGGGAAAGACAGCTGCCGTGGGAAATAATCAGGGAATGCCAGGAGTGGAAGTGACTGGGCCGAGACTCTGACTGGGACTTTTAGCCTCTAGAGCTGTGGGACAAGGACTGTCTGTTCTTGAATGCAGCCACCTGTGCTGTCTGTGACAGCAGTCTGAGGACACTAAGGAAGGAGCTCTGGGGTGCACTTCGGTGCTCGGCTGATAAATTAAAGGTTGGTGATATGAACCCACCAGCTGCTCCATGGGAGAAAGATAAGGCAGTCTGCTCCCATAAAGATTATAGCACTGGAAATCCTAAAGGATTGTTCGTTACAAGTCAGAATAGACTCTATGGCAGTGGCTTTGTGTTTTTTCTTCTTATTTTGATAGGAGACTAAGACAGTGTCCTCTCTAACCACACCCTCCCTGTCCATCTTGTTCTGGTTCCCAGTGCACACACCCTCATCTGAAACCAGCTTTTCCAAGCTCCTCACGTCCACCCCACTCAGGGATGGGCTCCATGAGGACGGAGCCCTCTCAAGGCGCCGGATCAACACAGGGGTTTGAACATCTCTGTTCTTTGTCACCCAGGACTCAGGCCAGTACATTCTGCAGGGACAGAGGACCAGCCTGGAGTGACCCGGGACACAGGCTCAGAGTCTGCCTGGTCCAGGCACTGGACTACCCTCAGATGGACAGAGAAGGTGGGGCTGGGCCTGGGTGAGGACTAAGTTGACTAGGCCGAGGCCTCAGGGTCCAAGAGGGCTCCCTGTCGGGCCCCTCAGAGCTGCAGTGGCCGCCACTGTTGTCTTGACTTTCAGCTGCATCTTACTCTATCCCCTCCGGCCCCAAAATCCCTGTAGAAGCCAGAGGAGCGACTTCTCCCTCCATCAGACTCCAATGCAAGCAGTCGTGGCTAGGCACAGAGACACCCACTGACCCTATGCTGGACCTCCTGGACCTAGTCCAGTGGGAGAAACAGCAGGACTTCTGCTGAGATCAGCACATCACACAGACCACCGTATCTCCTGAGTGTGCTCTGGGGGGAGTCCCCAGGCTGGCAGAGAGAAAAGGTTCATGAGCCAAAAAGGATGGAAAATGTTAGATTCAAAAAACTCCAACAAGCGCCTCCAGCGAGAAGCTCTTCTGTGTTATCAGAAGTCCCGGGGCAGCAATGACAGTTAAGCACTAGACTATTAACTGAAGGGTGGGTGGTTTGAACCCACCCAGAGGAACCTGAAAGAGAGGCCTGGTGCTGCTTCTGAAAGGTCATGGCCTTGAAAACCCCTAGAGCTCAGCTCTGCTCTGACACACACAGCATTGCCAGGAGTCAGAATCCACTCGATGGCAGCCAATAACCAATAGTGTGTCTGTCGACGGCTTGCGACTCTCCGTGAGACAGATGAGGTACAACACAGTTTCCGTGTGCAACGGACCATCAACTCTTTACAGCATTGTTTTGCAGGACTGAAGGTCCTTGGCAAACATCTGAAAAGCTGCTTAGTGTCTCCATCAACAACTTCAACTCTAACCTGATCTTGTACATTTCTCTTAATTAGCAAACCAGCCAGCTGCCAAAGTCAGCTCTGACTCACGGTGACCCGAGTGTCAGGCAGAACTGCGTTCGAAAGGAGCTGCTGCGGGGGCTTTCCGAGAAGCAGGCTGCCAGCCCTTCCTTCCGAGGCGCTCCTGGGTGGACTCCAACCTCCAGCCTTTCAGGGAGCAGCCATGCAGGTTCCCCGATTGCACCTTCCAGGGACTCCTCCTGACTGACAGTAATGATGAAACTGGGCTTATAAAAGCTGGGTGCAGCCCTTCAGCGGACTGAGGCAGAAACCAGACCGCTGACGAGGAAGCAGGCCTGGCTAAGTGAAAACGTACGCTGCTGAGAAGTATGCATCACCAAAACTGCTGGCAGATGCAGACGCAGGCACTCGGGGAACACACGTGCCCCCCGGGCCAGCGGACGCTCAGACGGGAGTAGAGGGAACGTGCCACTTTCCGTGTTTCTGTATCGCTGGTCTGAATGCTTCAGCAAGGACTCCCCGGTAGTGCATACGGGTCAGTGCTCAGCTGCTCACTGAAAGGCTGGAGGTGCGAGTCCATCCACAGCTACCTCAGAAGAAAGGCCTGGTGACCGACTTCTGAAAGATCAGCCACTGCAAACCCTGTGGAGCACAGCTCTGCTCTGACACACAGGGGTTGCCGGGAGTCAGAGGGGCCTCAATGGAAACATTACCAATCAATGCTTCAGCGATTGATAAACTGGCTAGAAAAGTAAAAGAACTTTACGGCACAGGGATGGTGAGACAAGGCCACAACGTGAACTGTCCATGGAGAAACTGTGAACGGACATGTTTGGTTGTGTATACTCCCAGTAAACCAAACCAAACATGCTGGCACGGAGTCGGACCCGACTCATAGCAACCCCTCCTTGGGTTTCCAAGGCAATTATCTCTACAGACGTAGGTTGCTCACCCTTCCTTCCAAGGAGTGGCTGGTGGGTTTGAACCACCAGCCTTCTGGTTAGGAGTCAAATGCCTTAGGCACTACGCCACCAGAGCTCCTATATATTGCCAGTACAAATAAATAAAATCTTTAAAAACAGAAAGTATAAAGAACAGTTTTTCACCGGTCCCTTGTATCACCACTGTACCAGGGCACAAAAGGAGACAGAACAGGGGCATGTGAAAAAGACATGGCATGTAGCCAAGAGGGCCCTGGGCATGCTGGGCCACTGGCCCGCCGCGGCAGCTAGCCCCTGTGGGCGGCGCACCCACCTTCTGTGCCCCATGACGATCATACGCAGCTTGTCTCCAAGGTCCTGCATCTCATGGATCTGGACGAACGTCCCCGTGTGGTAGATCTCGTCTAGGTTCTCGACCACGTCAGACTCATTGCTAGGAGAGAACACAAAGAGGCGAGGGCACACGTGCCGGACAGCTCGGCCCGAGTGGGAGGAGGAGGAGACAAGACACCCCCACTGGGTACCGCGAGCAGCCGTCTTAGTGTCCACAGGTGCCTCATGGCATGTGGGAGTGTCATCAATGGGACCTGAGGCAGGTCACACTGTGCCCTGGAGTGTAGGGCACAAGCGGGGCTGATTATAATGCACTGTCTCCACGGAGCCTGCTGCAAACGTTTTCTTCTGAACTGGAAGTGGAACCGATTTCTAGCTGGGCGTGAGGTGGATGGATCTGGGGCCACGCTATCAGCCTGACTAGCTTTGCTCTCAAGGGGCCTGTCAGGTTGCACTGTGGCAATACAGGTCCTTGAGGTTAATCCCCCTGTGGACTTGACAATGCAGGATGGCTTATGCTCCAAGACGAATCCTCAGCCGAGACTGAAAAGGTACGCTGGGCTGTTAGCCATGATCTGCTAGGCTTTACTTTTTATTGGGGGGGGGGGGGGGGGGCAAGAAAGCCAACGATCAGAGCTATTCTACAGAGCAGAAGTTTTTGGTGAGCTACTCTCTGGGGTGACTTGGACAAAGGCGTGAAGGAAAATGGAACTTACTTGTCATCCCTCTTTAGAAAGACACCGGCATAGGGCTGGGCAAGACGGACCTTCCTTCTTAACAGCTCAACCAACTTCTTATTTTTCACCTAGCAGGACAACGACCTCAGAGTGAAACACAGGGCAGTGCTCTACCTGACATTTTGACAGCAGCTCTGACAGTTTCTGTTATTCTCTGGGGACACGCACATGATACAGGGCACAAATCAGTATGGCCCAGGGACCTCTGACCAAAAGAAAAAGGCAGAGGGGGTGAGGAGTGGAGACACAGAGAATGGAGTGAGACAGTATTAACAAGCTGTACTCCTTAAGGAGCTTTGGTGGTGTCATGGCTAAGGCGTTCAGCTGCTGACCAAAAGGCTGGAGGTCAAACCCACCAGCCACTCTGTGGGAGAAAGATGAGGCACTCAGCTTCTATAAAGATTTCCAACCTTGGAAACCCTATGGGGTGGCTGTGAGTCGGAACGGACTCGAAGGCAGTGGGTGGGTGGTAGATGTATTCTTAGTAGGGACTACCCCTTCCTACAGAAAACTAAAAGCCATGGAGGCTGGGTGAACCCCAAAACTACTGCCCTGAGATGATCTTTAAATCTTTAACCAGAAATACCCTATCTCCTCAAAGTCTTCTTTAAACAATAGCTTCGTTAAGAAAGTCTGCCTTGAATACTGTGCTCTTTTAAGAACTCTCTCTATGGGATCAAACTGACAACAGCAACTCGAAATGCTACAAGCAGTGAGTTCATGTTGGTGGAGGGGGAACAACTGAGAAAAGAAGGGTGAGGGCAGCTGCGTAACTCAAAGGCTGTCATCAGTGTCACCAAATTGTACTTGTAGAAACTGGTGGCTCGTGTTCTGCCACGTACATGCTCAAGCACAAAGTACAATATATTACGTATATTAATAAAAGGCCAACAGTCAGCACCAAGAAAGGGACTTCACATCCACTTTGAAGAAATTTTTCAGGCAAAATGCCTTTGCTTAAAAATCTAAACCAACCTGCTTTTATTAATCTCAAAAGGGCAACACTACATGAGGTGAACATTTACACTAGGTAGATACACTCCTTGGAGAGAACAATCATGGGAGAATAGAAGGGCTGTGTATGCACAGGGACATAGCTCAGGGGGCAGGAGTGCACGGGGGGATGGACACAGGCAAGCGGTAACTATCAGGAGGAAGTGGGAGGGGAGCTGTTGCATTGGGGTAAATTGTAGTCAATGTCATGAGACAAAGTGTATGTGAACTGCTGTATAGAAAGTGAATTTGCTCTGTAAACTTTCACCCAAATCACAATTAAAAAAAAAAAAAAGCAACACTAAATACGTGTAAGTCAGATATGGCCCACCTCAGAGGCCACATCCAGGGACTGCCAGAAGAATGAACAAATATGTCTTGGAAGTCTCGGAAGACTGGGGCAATCTACTTCCGTAGAGATATCGCCTGGGAAACCCAGGAGGGGTTGTTGAGTCGGAATCAACTCAACGGCAGTGAGTCTGGGTTTTTTTTCTGTCTTGGAGGTACAGCCAGAACGCTTCTAGAAGTAAGACCGGCTAGACTTTGTCTCTCATACGTGGATCAGTGAAAAAGACGGACTGACAAAGTGGCTGCAACAACGGGCTCAAGCACACAGTGAGCGTGAGGGTGGCACGGGACCGGGCAGGGGTTTGTTCCGCTGTGCAGAGCTGCTGAGTCGGAACCGACTCGACGGCACCTCACAAGAACGGGCTGAAGACTCCTCTGGCGTTAATGAGATGATATCCTGATCACATCCACACCCTGCTCATCAACAGCCAACGCCCTCAGGACGCCCGCTCGTCCTGCCATCCCCTCCCGCACAGTGCTGGACCAACAGTGGGGAATCATCTGGCACGACACGGAGCACGGGGCCCTCAGAGCTGATTTCTCCCCGAACAGCGGCCATCGAGTGGCCTTCTACTCCTGGTGCCCTCGTGTGTGTCAGTGAGAACCAGCTCCAGCGTGCCTCCTGAGACATCTCTGGGTGGACCTGAAGGCCCACCTTTCGGTTTGCAGCTGACCACATTAACCTTTGTACCACCCAAGGGCTCTGACTGCTTCCCAGTCGGAATTCCCAGACCAGACCTTGGCTAAACTCGGAGGCCTTCGAGCCTCAGTGTGCATCAGAATTGCCCAGGGGGCTTGTTAATGCATTCTCTAACAGGGGCTCTTCCGGTGTCTTGGGAGCACGAGTCCCTGAGTGGTCTAAGAAGCCCTGATGGTGCAGTGGTTAAAGTACTCAGCCAACTAAAAGGTCAGTGGTCTGAACTGACTAGCAGTTCCACAGAAGATGTGGCAGTCTGCTTTTGTGAAGACTGACAGCCTTGGAAACCCTATGGAGGTAGTTCTACTCTGTCCTCTAAGGGCGCTGTGAGTCAGAATCGACTCTGGCAGTGGGTTTGGTTTTCGGTAGTGCAAGCAGTTATGCCTGGCTGTGAACAGAAAGACTGGCAGCTCAAGTCCACCCAGAGGCAAGCATGTGGGCTTGGGCACTGGGGGCAAGGGGCAGAGGAGACGTGTCTTGGTGAACACCAGAGGCCTGGGAGAGTGGTGTCCAGGAGGGGAAAGGGCCTCCAGGGCCGGGTTCTGCAATCTCATCAGTGCTCAGAGCAAAAAGCAGCAGCAGCGCACCTGACCACTTAGACAGACTAAGCACCAGGCATGGGTCTAAGTCCTTTACACATTTGACCCCACTGAACTCCCATAATTCTAAGAAACTGTTGTTGTTAGCTGCTGTCAGGTTGATTTCAAGTCATAATAACCCCACACAGCAGAGAACTACCGCACAGGCTTTGCTAGGCTGTAATCTTTACAGCAACACATCATTATGTCTGTCTCCCATGGACCCTACGAGTAGGTTCGAACCACCCACCTCCCGGTAGCAGCCAAGAGCTTTTAACCGTTGTGCCACTGGAACACCGACTCTAGAAAATACGGCAACATTGTTATTTCCATTTGGCAGATGAGAAAAGGAGGCCCTGAGAAACAGTCTGCCCAAGGTTATGTAGCTAGGAAGCTGGGGCCAGGACACGAACCCACCTGGCTCAGGGACCTGCACTAGTTACCACTACCTGACATCAAGGAAGGGTCTTGAAAGGGCCGCTCATATACAGCCAGTCAGCAGTGCGGGAGAGCGGTGGCGAAGGGCCCTCTCTCCTCTCTCCAGACTGGTTGCTACGCAGTGCTGTCCTTTCTGCCCCCAGCTGATCCCTGACATTGAGTTAGCAGGGTCTGGCCAGCAAGGGCAGAAGCTGACTCACTTTGTGACCTTGCTCATGCAGTTAACTGATAACCTCTGTCCTCTCCAGATTCCAGTTTCTACATCACACACACACAGAAAGGCTGTGGGGTTGGGTGAGGAAGCCATTTGGGTTCTTCCTACCGTAGGTCAAGTTCTTTGAACTTACACTGCCTACATGTCACTTCCTATGGCATCACCCTGCTGTTTGGTTTTTTCTAATCAGGTCCGACTTGACGGCACATAACAACAACAACAACAATCTCTTAGTCTGAAATGATCTTATTTGTTTACCGTCTCATCCCTTCTTAAGCGCAAGCATTGTGTATGACTCATTCACTGCTGTGTCGTCAGTGCCGGCTGCAAGGCAGGTCAAGAACACTCTGTTGCACGAATAAACGGTCACTGAATCTTTTGGGGACCATTTGTCCCCATCCCACCCCTTCCTCAGCTTCCAGTACCGTATCTTGTTCTCTTATTCCTCACAATACTTCATGCATTCTCACATTATCATTTACCAAATCAATTTTGTTCACCGCCTCTCTCATCCTACTAGAATGACTTTGGTCTGTTTGGTTCACTGCCAGTATCACCAATACCTAGAGCCATGCCTGGCACGCAGTAAACGTTCAAGAAAGGTTTGTCTTAAAGAACGAATGAATCTTGGAAAGAAACTCAATCACAAGGCCGACCGCCTGGGGGAGATGTTACAAAACATTTACCAAGACGGGCAGAAAAGTAACTGGGCTGTGATGTTACTCCGGCGTCTCCCAGCCCGGATTTCCAGGACTGGGATGCGAAGGGGCAGAGTACTAAATTTAGTAAGTTCAGCTCCCTTCATCTGATAGACCCCAAGAGATCCCAAAGGGAGAGGAATCTGGCTCGCGGACGCCAAGCGAGTGGTGAGCAGAGAGGGATTCCAACGCCAGGCTTTGAGAAACTTCGCGTCTGAAAAAGTTGCAGTAAGTGAGGGCACTAAAGGACTCCCTCGGTTCCACCCGCTGCTTGTAGAGGTGGGAAACTGAGGCCGAGGGGGGGGCGCTCATTACCTCAATAATCTTGATAAATCTCGGGAACACCGGATTGCGGGTGACTGCGATGAGCGGCAGGTGTGGGAACACGTCCGGGATCGTCATGGGCGTGAGCGCCGTGATGATGGGGCCCTCCCCGCCGCCCGCGCTACCCCCCGCGCCCCCCGTTCCATCCTCTGCGCCGCCCTCGGAGGCGTCCTCACTGCCGGAGAATGAGCCGCTCCCACCGCGATTACTCGCCTCCCAGAGCCCCCGCCAATGACTCGTGCCCGCAGGGCCTCGACCCCACAGAGTCCAGGGAAGCGAGGCGTCACCAGTTCGTCGGCCCCTGGACAGCCAGGCTTCAGCCGCAGATGGGGCCCGTGCACCCGCGGCGGCCAGGAGCGGTCGCCGTAGTGCCCAACACCGCGCTGCGCCCCACAGACGCACGTAGCCTGTGCCCGCCGCCATGGCCCGGCCATCCTGCCGACGCGCGGAAATTGCATCATTTCCGCTTGCCGGGCTGAGGCGAACGTGACGCCAGGGTCGTGTCCGGAGGCCCGTGGGGGGCGTGGCCCGAGAAAGAACGCTTTAGGGCGCGGGCCTTGGACGAGGGTGTGAGTGCGATGCCGTGCATAGCGGGCGGTCATCGATGTCCCTCTACACTTTCTCATTTTCCGCTCTCCCAGTTAGCGCGCTCAAGGACCCTTCGGCTCACGAGGAAGCCTGTAGACATACAAGGCCCTAGAAGGCGAACTATTGTTGCTGCAAACAGAGCTTCTGGGAACGTGCATCAGCCTTCTGCGTACGTTTGGGCGCGTGGAAGACGTGCTCATGCTCAGGGTCTGGGACGCATGCGCAAACTGAGGGGCACGCCCGCGGCAGTTTATAGTCTTCAGTGGACCAAGACCCGGCTCGAGCAAGATGCTGGTGTTGATGCTAGTGGCGGCGATGTCCTTGCGGCTCTGGCCGCTGGTCAGAGCTCCTCCGCTGTGCCGGTGGGGCTGCCCTCCCAAGGCTGCGGTGCTGCCGGGGGCCAGGAGGGAGCTGGCGGGACCCCGGGACAAGCCTGGGAACCTCGGGCCTGGGCGGAATCGAAAGGAAACATTCCTGTACTCGCTTTCTAGCCCCTTTCCCTTTCCCTAACTCATTGAGGCTTCTCAGTTTCCTCTCGCTATGAGTCAAAACTTGATACCTCCTTTTCCTGCACCCCACTCCTCCAGCCCATCACCTAGCCCTACTATTTCTACTTCAAAACTCTGGCCCCATTCCGATCTCTTTAAACCACAGCCGCCACTCCTAGGCTTTGCCCTTCTGCCCATTCTTCGTCCCGAAACCAAGGGATTAATTTTGAACGAGTCAGATCTGTCATTCCCCTCCCCTAATTCCTGGTGCAGGCTGGCTGCATGATTGGGCCCAAGTTCTCAAAAAAAAAAAAAAAAAAA